GCCCTTCCACAAAAACATAAAAATTTCATTACTTTAAAAACATTTAAAAATCAAATGCGCAAATATTTAGTTTATCATTGTTTCTATTCTGTGGAAGAATTTTTGCTTCATGGAAGTGCATGTGTGTGTGAGTATTGATTTTTTATTTATTTTATTATATTTATTTTTTTGTTTTTTTATAGCATTTGTTTTGTTTTGGGTTTAATGACAAATGTGGACATGTTTTTATTGTATACACGAATAAATATATCTATCTATCTATCTATCTATCTATACTTTCCAATACCCCTCGTAGAATTCAAACCCGATGATTTGCGTCCATCAGAATCTCACAACTTCTCAAGTAGATCAGTGTTGTTGATCTACTTTCATCCATACAGATTTCGAAAAAATGATTTTTTAAAATGTAATACGAATGAGTAAGAATATTGCTTCTCTTCCAGTTCGAAGATATTGTGGCAAATTGAAGAATTACCTGTCTTAAACAAATTCATTTACAACAGTATTTCACTGATGACAAACTAGTTTATTCACAACACTTAGCAACTAACGCTTAATTTATTTCCACTATTTAAATTTCTTGTTTAGCCGCACCATTCACTTTCTGAACAGCCCTCTTGGGTCGGGAAATCGGGCTTATATAATGTAACAGTTTGATGTCATGTATTTGTTACATGATTCATCCGGCATACTGGTCAGGGGCGGCTTCAGATTCAATACAGTATTCTCGAAATCTGTTATTTGTATACTGAAAATTTCATGAAGTGACTTAGGGTTAGGAATCATCTGGTTTCAATTCTACAAGGAATCGCAAAAACTGAGTCTGATTGTTTCAACATTTTTTTTCGAAATCACTACATCAATCTACTCAATATTCCATAAGACTTTTTCGATTTTCAATGCACGCACATCATCTGGTTCCAATTCTACACGGGGTTTCAAAAAGTTAGTCTGATTGTTGCAACAATTTTTATGGAAATCTGTATGGGTGACAAGAAAACAGTTTTCACTATGTTGATCTACCCAATATTCTATGAGAGTTGTATGATTTTCATAAACGCACATCATCTGGTTCTAATTCTACAAGGTCTTTGAAAAAGTGAGTCTATTTTTACAACATTTTTTCCTGGAAATCTGTATGGGTGACATACACCCACCCTGTAATCAGTACGTTAATCTACCCGAGATTCCATAAGCATTGTTCGATTTTTATGGACGCACATCATCTAGTTTCAATTCCACAAGGGGTTTAAAAAAGTTATTCTGAACGTTTCAACAATTTTATTCTCGAAATCTGTATGGGTGACAAGAAAACAGTTTCCACTATGTTGATCCACCCAAGATTCTATAAGAGTTGTGTGATTTCCATGAACGCACATCATCTGGTTCCAGTTCTACAAGGAATCTCAATAAATGAAACTGATTGTTTCAATAGATTTCTTTTTTTGAAATATGTTTAGATGACAAGAAAAGTGTTATCGCCAAGTTAATTTACTCAAGAAACTAAGGAAGTTGTGTGATTCTCAAGAACGCACATCATCGGGTGTCATTTCTACATTGAGTATTGGAAACGAAATCGGATATTTCCAATATTATTCTTTCCTAAATCTGTATTGTTGATGAGAAAACGGTTATCAATGCGTCAATCTACTCAAGATTCTATAAAAAGTTATACCTACACCAAATAGTCTTGATAATTTCACGTTCAACTTATAGTGAATAGGTATTTCCAGCCACAGATATTAGTACGGGTGCTTATAATTTCATATCCCAACCACAGATTTTCATTTTCTTCTACGTCAGCATGTGTGGCCAGAAATCTGTGGATAACTTCACGCCAATAAACTAGTATTCTATAGAAACCGACATTTATTTCGAAAACAAAAGTGAATGGAGTTCTTATATTCTTTGATATCATTGGCAGGTACAAAATTATCGTTGTTGTTAGGGCAAGATGTTAGAAGTCATATTTATTGTAAGCGCTTTTAAAGTTTCTGAACAAAAAACTTTTCTTAATAGTACGCGACTTGTGTCAAAACTAGATAGTTACACCCATATACATTATATTGTAAGATAATCAGGAAGATCTATGTTGACAAGAAATTAAACTTAGCCATCTGCCGAACAACCAATATACAGAGTGGTCCAACGAAAAGTATGCACCTTGCTTTTCTCCTTTTTTGTAAATTAACGTAAAAATGCTCGGACAAGTCAATTTTGCTTTTGAGGGGGACACATTTTAGATGTATTTTTCTACCTGTGCCTTTAACCCCCTAGCGAGGGTGAGTAACAACCCTAATATTTTAAATAGAAAGTGAGGTCGAGTGATATATCATTCGAAACGGCACAAAATTATCTTTCCAATGATACCTAATTTGTTGTATTTCACTGAAACATGTTGGTATTATGAAGAAAAACAACTAAAACCCAGTACTTTGAAATGTGTAATTGACTTAGTAGAATCCTACTTCAGCAAGTGCTGAAAATGTGACCCATTTGCTTCCANGATGGTATAATGTGGTCCTCAGGCATGAAACACAAATGATATTGGAAATATTTTTGTTTTTTTATTATTTATTCTCCATTCGGCCCTTTCATGGAAAAATATGACTTACCGGAGACCTTGTGCACTGTCCATTCTTTAGACTTTCTCCCAAATTGAAGAATGGAAGCAAAAAAATTAATACGTAACGTACCATGTCTGCTAGTTCAGAACAATATTTCGTACTGTTAGATGGGGAGCAGCAATGTCTGTCCATTTTATACAGACTGATAAGGCGATAATGATATGCGACGAAAAATTATTCATATTGTTTTAATCTTGGAATTATTCTATTATTTATCGAATAATTCGAAGAACGTACCACTATCACAATAATCTTGTTGGAATATAATATGCAGTACTCATCCTGATGCATTTAAATCCTTAGATCCATTTGTTATCACGAAGATAAAAAATTATATTGTACGAGTACATCAAGACTTTGTATCACGTTATCAATAATTTATTTTCGTATGTTATCACTAGCGGAAAATATTTTTTTCAAATATTCTTTTTTCACTAACAAAACAGCAGAAAAGAAGTCTTGACGCTGCTCAATTTTCACTAAGTTGGTTGGTTGGATTCCAGCTTGTGCATTTTTTTTTGTGTTTAGGAGTGATATTCCTTCATAATATCATCATATCATCCTTTGATTTTATTCCATCTCTTTAGGGATTGAGCATGGGTGTGACGTTTGGCTGGTTCCGCAATTGTCGAAGTCATCAGGCCGTAGGTGCCACTGGGTCCTAAAATTCTTAGTCCAGCCGCTTCCTTGGCTAAAGTGTCGGCAATGCGATTACCTTTACTCCTGTCATGCCCTTCAACCCACCTCAGGATAATGTTATTACCTGCCGAGGTTTTGGCTAAATCTTGGTGGCACTCTAGTACTAGCCCTGAGGTAACACGCTGTCTGTTCAAGGCTAATAGGGCTTGTCTTCTGTCAGTGCAGATTGTTATCTTTCTGCCAAAAATTCCTTTCCTGGTTACTTCTTTTGAGGCGATTGAGATACCAGCCAGTTCTGTTTGAACCACGCTGGCATTTTCCCATTCCTGCCGATATAAAGGAGATGTCTCCCAGAGACCTGTCCACCTTCCTGAAAAGGACAGGATGAACGATGACCAAGAAGGACAACTTCTCGGGAGGATGTACAATGGGTCACACGTGGCCTTAGAACTGTGGGCCTACACACACCCTCCCTACTCTACAGATACAGATACCATTACATTATATGTTCCTTATTTGAATATTTTAAACAAATGTACTGAATAGGTCAACGATAACGTACTGCAAGACATAACTGCCAGGAAAAGATCTATTAGAAAAAATACTTATATGAATCAAGTTTGTTTGTATACGTTCAAGGCAACTTTCGACCTGCCAAAGTGATCATTCTTCGACAAATGCTTTTGATCAGAAATTGGTCCAGTTATTTAAAAGACATGTAGCTTTGAAATAACGTATCAACTGATGCTCGTTTCAGTTGATACGTCAAGAAGAATTCTTTGATCACGCCATGAAGATGACTGTCGCAGTTGCAGTTGAATCCTTTGGAGATTACCATAATGATGATAATGATAATAATAATATGAGCTCATCTTGCATTTGCTCAGATGCTTTGCAGTATCCGACAGAATAGTGAGATGCATTGAACAACTGATACCTCTTTGGCGAACTCACTTCACCATAACATCTGGTGAAGCAAGAGCCCGAACAGGGTGGGTCACTTTCAGAAGGGGTGTATTCCAAGGCGATTTCCTCAGTCCCCTTCTCTTCTGCATCTCACTAATACCATTATCTATTGCGCTCAGAAATACTCGAGGGTATAACTGTGGCACCCCCGGAAACCGGAGGCCCAAGGTCGCCCATTTCTTTTATGGGCTCTGGAGAAAGGATCTCCATCAGTCCTTGAGGGTGGTGGAAGAGTACACGCATGCTATCGGTATGAAATTCGGAATAGACTAATGTGCAATGGTCTATCTCAAAAGAGGCCGATGCGGGGACTACGGAGAGGATGTGCAGCTCGTAGATGGAAGCACCCTACACCATCTAGATGACGGAAGACGTATACTTACCTCGGGGTGGAACAACGCCACTCACAAGAGGTAACTGCAGTGAAAAACTCTCTCCGCGGGAAGTATCAGC